CCTGGTGGCATACCTACAATTAAATAAAAACATTTTTAGCTCTTTTAAGTGATAACTTCCTAATTGAAGAAGTAGTGTTACGAGATGTAAATAATTACCCATCATTCCTGGTGGTGGACCCATCATCCCAGGTGGAGGACCTCCAACTGGCATACGTGGAGGGCCACCAGGATGCATCTGTGGTGGTGCAGAAACTTGGCCTCTGCCTCCCGGTGTCATTATCTGCTGTGATGGGCCACCAACCCCCCTGACAGGTCCTTGTAATCCAGTAGGTACTCCAGCAACATTGGCAGGCATACCACGACCAGCTGCACGACCCATACCAGGTCCTGCTGCTGCTCCAGGAATAGGTACCCTGGGTAAACCTTCTTCCGGAGGTGGAGGACCTTCTACTGTTAAAGAAACAATATTCTCTCCTCTTAAGAGCACGAAGCCTAGTACACGTTTATCTTCTCTTTCTGGTTGCTTCGTATTCTTTGGTTTAATTTTACGAAATTCTTCACAATCTCCAAGTATGAGGTTCATATGTTTATCAAAAGCTTTGAACGTGCCTATAAATGTTCTAGAGTCTTGGAGAATAATTCTGACTCTATAATTGATATGCTGTAGCATTTTATTGTTCTTGCCGATCGTCTGAAAAGAAAATGAGTACAACTTATTATTTGCTTCATCAGGTTATGATTAACAATACGCTTCAAACAACAGAAATATTTGTGCACTACGGCTTTCTATTTACCATCTTGATTGTGTTTCTGTTGACACTTAAAAATCAAAAACAGGCTATTATTCGATAGTTATCCTCTGACTGATTATGAAAAAAAAAAAATCGTTTGCCGGCTTCAACAGATTGGAACATCCGCTTTGATCCGCTTCATCCGCTTCCACAACATAATCTTCTTACATGAATAGAGGGCACCACTATAAGATCGTGTTTAATGATAATAATGTCGGTTAAGGGCGCATTTTAATGTACGTACGTATCGTAGAGAATTCAATTAATTTTTTTGAATCTCCACTAATCTCTACGTATCTTTTTAAATGTATTTCGAATTTTATTTCTTCGAAACAGATTGATTTTTGTATTAAAACAAATATTGTGCATTTAAATGATTAATTTTAATTACAATTAATGAGATATCAGAAATTGAGAAATTAAGGGGCTGTACCATGGCTGTTAAAATTCGGCACACAAAAAAGGATATCTATTTAGCTTTGAAACCGTTCTCATGAAAGTACATCAATCTTATTCAAAACTGAATTTGTAAACAAGTTAATACCGTGATCTTTCTTTTATTGAAAAAACAAATTATATGACAATTATATCACGATTTTATACCTTTTATAACATTTTAGGTTCACATTGCTTTACAACAATTTTCCATCTTAATGTTATACTTCTTAGGTCAGTGTTTGCAGAATTTTCAGCTAGACTTTTGGATTTTACTACGGGTTTTTCCCAATGACATTGCAATTCATTATTAAGTGGTAATTTTAAATGTTCTTGATTATAATCCCTTGTATTCAATAAAGTTGAGTTAAGTATTGCTTTGTTCTCAGATATGTTAAAAGGACAAGGATCTTTGGGTAGTCTTTCATATTCTTTTAAGTCTGGATGTAAACTGCTCATAGTATTCATTATCTCTTTAATTTTAGCACTGTAATCATCAGTTAAAACATTTGTTCTGTTCCTCTCACTTAATGCATTTGTATTTGTATCAAGGTATAAATATGTATTAGGAATTTTTATAGGTGTATTCTGATGTAATTTATCAGAATAATATAATAGTGACCGGGTTTCTGATTCTCTAGGGAATACAGTGTTTCCTTCTGCTGTTACTAACGGACCGTGAGTTTCTTTGTTAAGGTTATCATCATTTGTAGACTCCGAAATATTTTCTGATAATCCAAAAGAAATAAAAGGTATTCGTTTTACAACGAGCTTTTCAACAATGTAATCATATTCCTTGGATTCATTATTAAAGAAGCTTTCTTGGGACTTCTTCTCACGAGCAACTTTAAAGCAACTGAAAAATATATCGAAACATTTTCTCTTAGTGCCAGAAACAGAACCAGAAATTTCAGTTTTATCCGATATAGTGGAATCTTGTAATTTGCAATTATTCATTTCAATAATACTTTACTGCAATGCAATATAAGTTAATTCTTCTAAATTAACTGAATCTAGTGCAATCTGCAATTTAATATTTTTCATTGTCAACGTTGAAGTTACGATGGTTACAGATGGTTACGATCGTTACGATGTCATTCTGATGGCGCTCGTAACGCAAATACAATAAAGCTTTTAATAAGCGTCGTAACGCAAGAAATCGTTTCTTGACAGAAGTATAATAAATTTCTGATTTAGCATCTTTTACGAATAAGAGTTTAAACATTTTAAAGAAATTATTTGAGATACATTTTTTTATTTTGTAATTTCACGTGATGCGATATGTTTTTGGTTTGTCTACTGTCTGTTCAACTTAAAAAGGTAAATTCTGTTGCAATAATAATGACGATGTGTCTCGTTACATGCTGGACTTCTGATTGCATGATTTAGGGTAAACAGAAGCGTACCTATTTACAATAAGGTTGAGCATAATTAAAATTACTTTCTGTTCTAATTCATAACATTATAATTAATTGAAAAGATTTGGGATTTCCCTCTTTCGTATTCAGTTACGAAATATAACGCAATTGGCGCTCTAATGCAACCATTGTATGTAACTAGAAGAGTTACCTATCTATGGTTTCTTCGTATGGTAAATAATGTAAAGTGTGGTTGACGACGTTGAAAAGAACAGCAAAGAACAGTTGAGTTTACTGTTTTATGTTTTCGCCAGTTTTCACTTATAACCACATCAAAATTATTGGAAAAACCGCGTTTAAAATTAATGTAACATGGCAGCTCCAAAAGTAACTCCAACAACTTCACCTTCTGTTGAATTGAGTTCATATCGTGATCAACATTTTAAGGTTTGTTGTATGACATTCCGAATCATAAATCTGGACGATGTTTTATGTTGGCTTCTTAAACGTGTTTTTGGGTGTTATTACGAATTTGAAACATTTGTCACTATTATTTTAGATTATACGCTAATGTTATCAATATTTATGTACGATCATAACAGTGTATTTTCTCTTTAGGGGTCTAGAGCTGAACAGGACAGACTTTTAAGGAATTCAACAACTTTGTATGTTGGAAATTTATCATTCTACACTACAGAAGAACAAATATATGAGTTGTTTTCAAAATGCGGTGATATTAGAAGAATTATTATGGGCTTAGATAAATATAAAAAGACACCATGTGGTTTCTGTTTCGTCGAATATTATCAAAGAAGTGATTCTGAAAACTGTATGCGGTACATTAATGGAACACGGTTGGATGATAGAATAATTAGAACAGATTGGGATGCAGGTTTCATAGAAGGTAGACAATATGGAAGAGGAAAAACTGGTGGACAAGTATGTAATACTAATATGTACACCAAAATGATACAATGAAAAAATAATAAACATTATATTCTTGTAGGTAAGAGACGAATACAGATCAGATTTTGACAGTGGAAGAGGTGGTTATGGCAAAATTATACAACAGAAAGTGACACCTCTTAGTGATGGAGGTTTTGGACATTGAAATTTGACCTATGACCAAGTTCCCATGCACGATTTTGTATGTATAAGTAAATTATAAAAGTACTTGACTAATTGAATTTAGAAATACGGAATATATTATTTATGTTTAAAATTATAAGAGTTGTATATACACATAGGATAATAGGAATTAATACATAACACGGATAAAATTATTTCTTAAAAATTAGGGAGGTGCAAGCTAGTGATTTTTATTTTCATTGAGTCTGAATAAATACATTATTAAGATGAAATTTTTCTCAAACATAGTGCACCAATGGAATTAATATCTTTTTATTAACATACTTTGTAACATACATTGGTAAAAATGCTTAAACAGCATAGTCTTTGGAAGAATCTAATAATTTTCTATATATAAAAATTATTCCAATTCGATGCCTGTCACTATCTTAATAGTTAATTATAAATATTGCTCTGAAACTTAATTTTTAGAATGTACAGCAAAATTTACTCGATGGTTTTTTGAGGACAGCTCGTATGGCTTCTGTAAAAACTTCCTCTAAATTTTCACATTTCAAAGCAGAACATTCAACATATTTATAAGCTTTCACTTTTTTCTTCATTTTCTTGCAGTCTTTAAAAGTAATTGCATCCACATTTTCCGTGTTTCTAAGATCTCCTTTAGTACCTATCAATAAAACATTCAAAATGTTAAATACCTTAATTTGTACAGCGAGCAACAAAAGTATTCGAACTACAGGTTTCTATATCTGTATTGTTATAACAAATTTTTTCTATCTTTTATACATATTTTTCTTCTCGAATTCATAAATGTTTTAATGCATACAATTTTGTTTTCTCTAACAAACCTTCCGATATGCTATCACTGTAATATTTGTATTGCTTGCTGTAATTGATTTCAATTGTCTTCTAATTAAAGATTTAATTCTTTAAAAAGTATAAAGAGTAGTAAAAACTGAAAGTTTCCTTTGAACACATGGATAATAATTCGAAAATAATTACCGACAAGAACTATAGGTGTGTCTGGACAGTAATGCTTTATTTCCGGATGCCATTTGCTCGAGACATTCTCGAAAGAATTGCGAGAATTCACTGAAAAGCAGATCAAGAAGCAATCAGTCTGAAAATGAAACGTTATCGTGAGTCGACGTTTAATGGAACAACGATTGAAAAATGTCATTAGCCGATAGATGCCCGCCTTACATTTGGATAGGATAAAGGCCTGATCCTTTCGTAATCTTCTTGTCCAGCCGTATCCCACAGAGTCATATCGTATTCTTGTCCGTCGACGCGTATGCTTCCTGCATAGTTATCGAAGCTGAAGAAAAAAACGATTGCAAACGTAAATTTTTCGCTATGTAACCGGACGTCAGTTTATTCGACCGAGTGTTGGTGTATCGCAGCTCGAAACCTAAGAAATCAATCAATTATTCGATTGTCCAAACAATACTTACACCGTGGGTACATATTCCGATGGGAATTCGTTGGTCGTGTACGTAATAAGCATACATGTTTTGCCAACAGTACCGTCACCAATCGTTGTCACTTTGATCGGTCTGTGCCCGGAGGCCGATTTATCGTTTTCTAAACAGTGAAAGGTAGTTCTGGTATTCGGTCGTGTAATGTGTAATATTTTTCCACAAATATTTCTTAAGCACTCGAGTGATGCGTTTCGATGTATTTCTGTAGAATTTGAAACAGTAATATTCCTAATGTATATAGACTGCGGATCCTTATGCGAAATGACACTTTAAAAGTACAGATCACATTAAAACGAAAACAAATCGTTAGACCATATAATTCATATAATCTTCATTATTTTTGCAATTTCATTCAATTTTATTATAAAACACTTAAACGTACATATCACCCACATCAAAGACTTCTACAACGACCCAACAATTTACATAGATAAGAATAAAAATAAAAATTTTTTTTTTAACAATTTTACTAGTTCAAAAATAATTATAAAAAATATACCATAGCGTAGTTCTACGCGTCAATCGGGTGCACAAAGTCCCCGCAGTCTACCGGCATCAGATTCATTGAAACGATACGCTTGATGCTTTCTGTATTTACCCTTATTGTTATTGCACATCGCGTACGAGAAACAAGGGGTAGGGTCCAGCGGAGTCGAGAAGAAATCCGTGTCGTGTCGGCTCCCAACTTCCCGGTCAATTTGACGGCGTTTGTTATCAGCAATGAACGATGCTACTTATCTATTTGTCATCCGGCCAACCTCCATTATCCGCTACATTATTCGGCTGTGGGTGAAACGAATGAGATTTGATAGTGTTGTGATAGCATTACTATCAGCCAGTGATTGATATGCGTGCGTTGTACCCGTGATGTGTAGGCTTTAGCGAAACGATTGTACCCGCGATTACAACGGAAGATCGGAAACGTTCAATGGGAGTAGGAAAAAGCCTACCGGCCACCAAAACAGTTATCCAGTGACTTCAATCGTCATGCATAACAACAAACGGCGGGTTAGAAATGGTGTGTCCGCAAAGGAATACTTTCCGACTGATTCACTGTACCACGGTCGAGGGGTAATTATTTAATTAAAACGATGGAATTATGTTTCCTAATTTGTGAAACCGCTCGACCCCATAGAGCTGAGATCATCGCACTTTCCTGTCACTTAGGCTGATGGGTATATACACCCGCTACCATTTCCCGAAGCACAAGTGCCATTTAGTCGAAGAAATTGTAAAATTACCACGGAACGTCCGTCACGTATATTTCTCTTGATGACATGTTTTCGGTTTAATTTCATTCACACGGTCGGGTTAGAGACAGAAAAATCACTGATCGGTGATACGCGGAAATACCGGACAATTACATACTGCAAAACGATAAGGTGGGTAGC